ACTAATATTTTAATTTTTTCCAGAATACATGTGATGCAGAAAAGTCTTATGAAGTGTTATTGAGCTTTTTGATAAGTGAACTATCTAAAGGAAAGTTATACCATGAAGAAGGAACTCAGGAATGTGCAATGGTAATGCTTTTACTAAAATCAGATGTAGTGATTACTTAGTAAAAAATTTAAATTTTGTTGCCATTATGAATGTAATTTCTTAAGCTATATTTATTATAGAATGAATTGTTCAAATTTTCTTTTTTAACTTTAGGTTAGCCCTATTGCTTGGTCTCCTGAATCCATGGAAAAATACTTACAGGACTTCTGCTTACCTTTCCTCAGAATCACCAGCCTTCTTCAGCACCACCTTTTCGGGGAAGATTTACCTAGCTGCCAGGTATAATTTGGGGTAGAGGATAGGGAGCATTGTTTTTACAGTAAGCTATTTTTTAAAAATATACTGGTATATACTATAGCACTTACATCTTTCTATATAACTATCATTTGAGTACATGTTAGCCTAACTTAAAGGAATAAATGTTTAAAATATTTACGGTTTTTTACTATACTATGTTTGTTATTTTTGTATTTGTTAGCATCCACCCATTTTTATGATGATATAACTAGTATTGGATATTTGAGCAGTTTGGATTAGATCAGTGATAATACATGCCTAGTTCTTAAATAGGATCATAGTATTCAGTTTTACTGATATTTGTATTATTAACATCATCTGCTTTAAATATTCTTTGAAAAGATTTAGCCAGGTATGGTGGTATGCACCTGTAGTCCTAGCCACTCAGGAGACTCAAGTGGGAAGATTGCTTGAGCCCAGGAGTGTGAGGCTACAGTGAGCTGTGATCGTGCCACTGCACTCCATCTTGGGCAACAGAATGAGTCCCTGTCTCTATAAAAATAGAGTAAATAAAATAAAATAAAAGTTACGTTGGTCAGAAAACTTGCTTTTTGAAGATATGACAATATTTAGAACAGCAAAATGTTCAGTTTCTAGCCAATTGTATTAAAACTTGGATGAATGAATTATTACTCGTTTAATCTGTTTCATAAAACTGTAGGTCAACATAAGTGGGCAAAACAATGACAGGGTAGGAAGCCAGAAGGTAAGTAAACCCAAACTGTGCTTATAGGATTATGATCCTAACATTATCTGCCATTTGATTCCAGGGAATTTGATGTGGAAATTAAGACATTTATCATATTTATGGTCTTTGAAACCTGAAGTATTTTTATATACTAGCAATGAGCAATCTGACATTGAAATTAAGAAAATAATTCCATTTACATTAGGGATGATGAAAATATTTTGAAATTAGAAAGTGGCAATGGTTGCACAATTTCACGAATATACTAAAAACATTGAATTGAACACTTTAAAAGGCTGACACTTACAGTATGTGAATTATATCTCAATGTTTTTAAAAAAGTATGTTACGAAGGACTAATCCCCAGAATATATCAAAAACTCTTATAACTCAATAAAAGAAAACAAAAAACCTGCAACACAAAAGTGGGCAAAAATTTGAATAGACACTTCTGAAAGGAATATATATGAATGGCCAAAAAATAGATGAAAAGGGACTCAACATCACTGTTCATTAGAGAAACACAAATTAAAGTCACAAGTGATAATACCAAGTGTTGATGAGGATTTGGAATACCTAAATTCTCATTCATTACTGATAGGAATGCAAAATAATATAAATAATTAGAAAAAGTTTGGCAGTTTCTTTTAAAAAATTAAGTATATACTCAATATACAAGCCAGCAATTGTACTGCTAGGTATCTACCAAAAGAAATGAAAATATGTGTCCACATAAAGACTTTTAAATGAATATTCATAATAGCCAAAAAACTAGAAGCAGCCATCAACAGGTGAATGCACAAATAAAATGTAATATAACCATTCAGTGGAATGCTACTCAGCTATTAAAAGGAATGGAATACTGATAAGCACAATAACATGAATGAATCTCAAAATATTATATTAAGTAAAATGAGGCACAAAAGACTACATGCTGTATGATTTCATTTATATAAATTTTTTTTTTTTTGAGACATAGTTTCACTCTGTTGCCCAGGCTTGAGTGCCATGGCATCCGCCTCGCTCACAGCAACTTGAAACTCCTGGGGTCAGACAATCCTTCTGCCTCAGCCTCCCAAGTAGCTGAGACTACAGGCATGTGCCACTATGCCTGGCTAATTTTTATATAAATTTTTAATTGTTCAGCTAATTGCTTTCTATTTTTTTAGTAGAGACGGGGTCTCGCTCTTGCTCATGCTGGTCTCGAACTCCCAAGCTCAAATAATCTTCCCTCCTCGGCCTCTCAAAGTGTTAGGATTACGGGCGTGAGCCACCACGCCCAGCCTATATAAAATTTTTTAAAAAGCCAAAACCATGATGGCAGAAAGTAGATGAGTGGTTGCTTAGGGCCAGGAGTAGGGGCTGGGATTGACTGCTTGGGGGCACAGCAAATTTTGGTGGGTGATGAAATTGTTCTAAAATTTTATTGTGGTTGGCCAGGGTACAAGTGGTTGACACCTATAATCCCAATACTTTGGGAGGCTAAAGCAGGAGGATCATTTGAGCCCAGGAGTTCGAGGCTAGAGTGAGCTAAGATCATGCACTGCACTTCAGCCTGGGCAACAGAACAAAACCTCGTCTCTAAAATCAATAGATAGATGGATAGATAGATAGATAGTTAGAGGTGGTGGTTTCATGACTGTATATTTACCAAAATTCATTGAACTGCACTTAAAATGGGTAAATTTTAACGGTATGCAAATTATACCTCAATAAGGTTGTTTTAAAAAATGCAGGATTTAAAAATTAACATCTCTTTCAGCTTGCATATCCTTTTGCTATTTCATCTTTATTTCTTTTGTAGCATATTTCAGAATTTTGTACTTAATGTTCATAATTAGTTCAGTTTTACAAACATTCATTGAATGTCTACTATGTGCCAAGCACTGGGAAGATAGGGTCCCTACTTTCAGGTAACTCACAGTCTTATAGTGAAGGCTAATTGATTTTTAAAATCATTAATAGAAAACATAAGCACAAAAACAGAAGTTTACAAGGTATGAAAGGATTATTTTATCTGAATAGAGCTGTGTGGTCTGAGGTCTCATTAAATGGAATCATGGAAGGCTTCCCTGGGGAGCTGGAACTTGGAGGATAAATAGGAATTGATCCAGTAGACGGGGGAGAATAGACACACCAGCTTCCTAAGAAGGATTGGAGAATATATTTTTGTGTTTATAAGACTAACAAACTTTTTTAAAATCCAAACTTTCAAAATATGAGTCCTTGCACTGGTATCTCTTGTTCTTTTATTACCAAATAGAGCTTCAGATTGCCTGGCTCCTAGATCTCTTAAGTATTTTTAAAACTCCACTTGTTTCATACTCATTCAAAGTCCAGGCAAATTATTTAGCACTGCTTATTATGAATTCTGTTTTTACTATTGTTCTTTATCCACACTGACAACCTATGTGTTTTTAACCAAAAGTAGTTTTCTTTTTGCCACAAATTAACATTTGTTTTCACAGAGTAGCCAGGATCTGTAGAATGTATTCATCAGATATGTGATAACTCTATTTTAAGAATAAATGTATAAAAGAAACAGATTATATGACACTTAGAGTTAAATTTCAAAGAGAAATATTTAGATATATAATAACAGCTAGGAGCTTTTTTCTCTTCTTTGCATCTCTTACTCCCTTTACTATTTTCCAGTTGACTCAGTTAAGAAAGTATTCTTATTGTCCCAAAGTAATTGATGAGGGTGACACTTAAAATATCTGTAATAGGAAATATTCTTGATGAAATATCTTGAGAATTTTCTATTTCATGTCTAAAAGGAAGAAGAAGAATTTTCAGTTCTCGCCAGCTGCCTGGGACTTCTGCCAACGTTTTACCAAACAGAACATCCATTCATCAGTGCCTCTTGTCTGGATTGGCCAGTTCCAGCATTTGATATTATAACTCAGTGGTGTTTTGAGATAAAATCATTTACTGAAAGACATGCAGAACAAGGAAAGGTATGTAAAAAGAGTAGTACTCACTTGCCACAATGGTAATATGCTAATAGGTAAGAGAATAATGAAGAATTTTAAATTTCAGGTCATCTGTTCTTAAAAACATTTATTAAGCTGATTAAATTGAAAAAGTGTTTCACTTAGATAAATTTCATTTATGAGTATAGAAGCAGAAATATTTTAGTTAACAAAGATAAAGTATTAGTTGTAACTTTTAGGTTGTTTTGGGTCACAGATTTTTATTGAATACCTTAAATAATCATAGCACTAGACTTGGAAGATACAAAGGAATTTTAAGATAGATAAGGAGTTGTATTCTTATTTAAAGGAGAACTGGCTCATATTAAAAAAATGATTTGCACTAACAGATCTAAAAGGTCATGCCTTTAACTTTAAAATTTGCTGGGCCTTTGCTGCCAGCTCAGCTAGTAAAAGGATTTGTATAGGAGATGAGTGGATTGGAGAGTAGCATGGGGGAGGCAGTGGGTGGCTCTGTATGCCATGGTTGAGAGCTCAGACTTTCTTATATATCTAGAATTATAGCTGTTGAGAAATGGAATAATATGATGAAAGTAGTATTTTAGGGAGGTAATTCTGGTAGCTTTCTAATAGGTAAATTAAAGTAAGGGGAAAAGGAAGCCAGAGATTGTTTAGGTAGTTAAGAAAATCTGGACTCTTTTTCTGATAGTAAAACTTAGAAAGTAACTAATACAAGAGACATTTGAGAAAAATATATAGGACTTGGTGACCAGATGTACATGACTTTAAGATCTTGAACTTGAATCATTAGGAGAACAGTGACTAGTATATATAGTTCTCATAGGAACATGCTCCCACTTAAACACCATTGATGATGTCCCCGTTGCCTGTAAAAGAAGATAAGGACTCCTTGCATGGCATTCAAGGATTGTCACCTTCTTGCTTGCCTTTCCATGTTCATTGTATACCACTCCTCTGCCACTGCCTTGCTCAGATCACAAAAGAATGTTTCATAAGTGTGCTACACATTTTCAAATTTCTGTGACATTGCTTATTTTTGCTTCTACTTTTATCTGAAGCAAACTTCCTTTCTCCTGTTGAATTAATCACTCTGAGGTTTTGCTAAGATAAATGTTACCTCTTCCATGTAGATTTGTCAGATAGTCTGTCTTCCTTTTCCTCGCCTTCTATTGTTCCATAAGACTGTACTTTTGTCACTAACGGTTGCCGTATTTATCACATTGTTTCTTTAATATGTCTGAATGGGGGCTCCACAAAGCAGAAATTATTTCTTATCCTTGAATCCCCCGTTCCTAGAAAGTGCCTGATACAGACTAGTCACTTAATAAATATTTGTGGAACAAGTAAGTTGTGGGATGGTGTCATTGACAAAAATAGAACTGATAAAAGGGGATCCAAATTTCAGGGAAAATCAAAATTTTAATTTTGAATATCAAAAGGACAATTAAAAATTAGTATTTCAGATGAAGGTGTCAGACCAGACTTAATTTGTAAAACATTGGAGTGAATAATAAAGGCAAGATTAGCATAAATAATAAATGTCTCTGCTTTTGTTCTTTTCCATTTTTTGCTGAAATCCTTAAAAAGATGCTGCCTCTTTTTTTTTTTTTTTTGAGACAGAGTCTCGTTTTGTTGCCCGGGCTGGAGTGAGTGCCGTAGCGTCAGCCTAGCTCACAGCAAC